CGAGTATGGAGGGTTCGTCAAGCATCGCGAGGAAGACATGGGAGCTGGAGAACAACATTCTAACCGTGGAACCACCGGATTCATCCTCCGACGGCATCTTCTACTACGACGACACTGCGCAGGCCAAGGTCCAGCAGGAGAAGCCATGGACAACCGATCCTAACTACTTCAAGCGTGTCCAAATCTCAGCCCTCGCTCTTCTCAAGATGGTTGTCCACGCTCGCTCCGGTGGTACAATCGAGATTATGGGTCTTATGCAGGGTAAAACCGTTGGTGATACAATCATTGTCATGGATGCTTTTGCTTTGCCTGTCGAAGGTACCGAAACTAGGGTTAATGCCCAGGCTGATGCGTACGAGTACATGGTTGAGTACTCACAGACCAACAAGCTGGTAAATCTCATCTCTTAGATAGGGTTTTGCTTGATGGATTTATGGTGTTCTAGGGTTTTAGAGATGTGTCCTCGTTGTTATTCTTGTTTGATTACCTTTGATGGCTGCCACAATTAAGTGAACAAAGCTATGCACAATGGTTTAAGGTGGACTGCAGAGGTTAACTTAGCTAGTACTTGTTCTGATTTGTTATGCAAATTTTATGCACAAGCTATAAAAATTCAAAGTATTTGATTGGCTTATTATTTTGAGTTGAACCATAGGCTGGGAGGTTGGAGAATGTTGTTGGATGGTATCACTCTCACCCTGGTTATGGATGCTGGCTCTCCGGTATCGACGTGTCAACACAGATGCTTAACCAACAGTATCAGGAACCCTTCTTAGCTGTTGTTATTGATCCAACAAGGACTGTTTCGGCTGGTAAGGTTGAGATTGGGGCATTCAGAACATATCCAGAGGGACATAAGATCTCAGATGATCATGTTTCGGAGTATCAGACTATCCCTCTTAATAAGATCGAGGACTTTGGTGTACATTGCAAACAGGTATATATATTCTCATTTCTTGATTTTTAGTCTTTGAGGCTTTTTTGATCGTTCTTATGTTTGATTTTTCTTGTTTGATGTGGCAGTACTATTCATTGGACATCACTTATTTCAAGTCATCTCTCGATAGTCACCTTCTGGATCTCCTTTGGAACAAGTATTGGGTGAACACACTTTCTTCTTCCCCACTGCTGGGCAATGGAGACTACGTAGCCGGACAAATATCAGACTTGGGTAAATTCTGGGATATGCAGGAGCAAATTACTTTACTTTTCTATCCTGGTTGTAGTTTAACACTTTTCGCTTTTCTTATCATTTAATCCTTTACCAATGTAGCTGAGAAGCTTGAGCAAGCTGAGAGTCAGCTGGGTCACAACCGGCATGGAGGAATGGTGCCATCCACACTCCAAAGGAGAAAAGAGGTTTGTATAAATGGTGGTTTAAGTAAATTTATTTGCTATGTTTTCGTGACTGTCTGAGATACTGCACCATGGTTTGAGCTCTTCCTATCTAGAAATTTAACATTTGGCTAATGAAGTGCTTCTATCAAGTATCAACATCTAGCTTTTCTACAACCTATCAAAATTTGCATCCTCTCTTGATTCTCGGGCAGTCTGTTGCTTGGATATAAACTAATAGGAACTCTACCTGCAGAACACTATGGTTCACCTTTTCTGGTTGTGGGATTTATCAATTGGGTGTTTATTTAGTTAAAACATACAGAGTTGTTAAAGTTTGGACAAGTATGTACCTGGGAGACTTTGATGTGTCAATATGTCAACTAGTTGTTGCCAATAATGGGTTTAGTCTGTGTCTGCTTCCTAGTGTTGTATTATATCTGGCTGTATAACTCATTTTGAAGTGGTTTTAATATTTTCTACATAAAATCATCTGTTTGGGAAGTTACAGAGCCTAATTAGGTGTGTTGTGGATAACTTTCAGGATGAGGCTCCACTCACTAAGATAACTCGGGATAGTTCAAAGATTACTGTCGAGCAGGTCCATGGACTAATGTCACAGGTAAGTTAACAAAATCTGACATTTATTTCATGTTGGTTCATGGATCCATGAGATTCACTCTTCAAGTGTTTCATCCATCAATGTGCAGGTTATCAAAGACATCTTGTTCAATTCCGCACGTCAGTCCAACAAAGCTCCCAGCGAACCATCGGATCCAGAACCCATGATTACATCGTGAAGTTGGTGATATTCTTTTGTTTTGTCTGCGCAATTGACTTTCCTTTTGAACCCAGTTTATGAGGCAATGCACACTGTTTCCTAAAAGAAATATATCTCCAGTGTTGTATCTGCTTGAGACAAGCTCTTTGGGTTATTAAATAGCATTAACATGACTGGTATGAATCAAAGGTTTGGCACTTTGAAAAATTGCTTTGGAGCTGAAAGTTTATTTTGTCCTTTTAACTTTTTCTAGTTCCAGTAACAGAGAGCATATCTGTGAAATTAAATTCCATAAACAGGAGACCTGTACTTCATCTCTGGCAATTTTCTCAAAACTCAGACTTTACACCATTCTCGTTTATTGCATAGCATACCAATGTCTTCTCCTGCATTTAGCGGGTTTGATCCACACCAATATAACCTGACCCGTTTCGTTTTCCACATAATGGGCCTGTTTACGGTCCAATTTTTGCTAGCTGAACAGACAAAGGAAGTGGCCAAATCAATCATCAAATAAGCTTGGGGGTGTATTCAAATGATTTGAAGTGATTTGTATTAAAATGTTTAGGAATCAAGGATGCTTCTTGTGTTTATCACCTGAGATGTTTAGGAATCCCATTTGGGTTTACAAATGTTTTCTAGTCATGTTTCGTGGTTCTTTGCCTTGACACAAGCAAAGGTGGGCTTAATAGCATTCAACTTGAGTTTGATACCAACTTGACTCAACTGCTTACTATGTTAATATATCAACATACATAATGCTCACTTTTATCTTTCAGGAAGAGCTTATTGGTGGAGCATTTTGTGAGGTTAAGTGACACTTTGAATTATGTAGAAACTGAGGATACAAGTTCTAATCCAGCAACATAGATTGATTCAAAAACATGCTAACACTTTCTTCAGTGTGTGTGGGGGGTATATATGGAGATCCTGAGGCTGCACTAACACAACTGTTGCACCAGAGACTAACGGTCATCGTTGAGAAAATTCTGATGGGTCTGCCCTGAACAGGGGAGCTTGAGACCAGGAAATGATACATTTGAGGAACCCGTGTTTTGGCGTTATACTGAGTGCAGAGTGTGTAAGACAGGCGTCTCGCAAAAAAAAAAAAAAAGGATCTGAAGCCAATATTGTTTACTGGTAGCGTCTTAGACTCGGTTTTTGCTCCAACCGTAATGGGTTGATGAAATAAGCTTTCATGATGGGAGTTTTTTTCCCACTAATGTTTTCTTACAAGATGTTGAGAGCACAGACTTGAAACGCAACCATATGTGAGAAAACATGTACTCTTGTTTTGTTCAGCTCACTATTGTCATTGTGATTGATTCAGACATGAACACAAGTTGAAGACTGGAGAGAACTCGAAATCAGACATGAAAAGCCCCGAGCTGTCAAAGCATTATCCCTAACAGCTATCACAAAACTGAAAAGCATGAAGCTCTCCTTAATGTGTAGCATATTAATTTGTAGAGACTTTGAATAATGCATTTTTTATTGAAGATAATAGAATCTGAGTGAGACATTCCTCCCCTCCAAAGGGAAGAAGGCATGACTACTACCTAAGTCCTAAAGCTACTAAGACTAACATGTTCATGCAACAAAAAAAGGCTTGTAGGGGTTGTCCTGATATTTTGCTTAAAGATGCAATTATTTTCAGTTTTTCAAACAGGACATGGTTTTGGTGCTTGAATTTCTTACATTAATCCTAACAGACATTTTCTTTGTCAGCCCTCCCTAGGCCAAACAACATAACGAATTTAAGCTGATACATGCATCAGCTTTGAGTTTTGGCACATGAGTGATTGATGATGATGATGCTCCATTAGCAATATCTCTCTTTCTCGAGAAAACCCATTTCTCTGGAGAAGATGCAATTGCAAGAAAGGTGAGAGACATGACCACCATCTGAAATTGGAGATGAGGATCTGCAAATAAAAACCACCTCAAATTCCGTAAAATGAGGTAGCTTTTAGAGCAGAGGGAGAGGAAAAAAAGGTCGTGGAGATGGCCAGAGAACACCCATTATAGATGCCTCTTGGCTTTAGAAGAAGAAGAAGATGATGTTGATGATGCGAAGCTCGATAGTTACCAAGACTCTTTCTTAAGCTTCTTTAACGGTAAGGAATGAGAGGTGGTTGAAGCGGAAGGCCTGTTACTCCTGTGGCACAACAAAACACATTGTCAACAATATTGCATTACAAC